CTTTAAGATCATAAATTCCAATCATTAACCCCACACTGACAGCCCCGTGCTCAGCACCAGCCTCATCCTTCAGCCTCTTCTCCCTTCTGTGAACTCTGGTGGAACGGGCATGTTGCTCCTACAAACCAGTTGCTGCTTCCTGGTGAATCTGCCTCCTACAGACACCAGCTCCTTGGCCAAAACTGCTTTAATTAAACCACACTGGCCAGATCCTGCATCTCCCCGTGACGATGCAAAGCTGCAGCATCTGCCTTGATATCTCCTTTCGGTGATTCAAGAAGAAATGGGACCACAACAATTATCGTGCAGGCCTGAGCATTTGATAACATGTTTATTGCTATTCAGGTTTAGCTGGGGATTTTGTGCATACGGGGTTTTTTAGGTGGTTATCCAGACTCCTCGCACGGTGCTGCACAGCTCCAGAGCATCTCGTTTGCACGTCGGTGGTAAAGCAGAAGGTGGCTGGGTTGGGTCGGTAGCGGCTGCAAAGAAGAGTCAATGCAGCAGGTGAAGTTAATATCACACTCAGTGGGAGCAGGGGACTTTTAAGACTTGGTTGCTCAGTTGGTTTGGGGTTTTTTTTAAGATCATTTTATCTCATCAGCAGGATCTGAAGTGTGGACTCTGACCCAGGGAGTATTCGCTGTTGTTATTTACAGATAAATCCAGCTTTCTCACTTGCCTCCTGCTACTTTGATATGAGACATTAACAGACAAACATCACCCTGACAGACAACAGCACGGGACAGTAGGAGGGAAAGATGTGCCACGACACACACTTTCTTTTTACTTTCCATTAGCAAGGTTGTTTTTTTTTAAAGTGTCACAGCTACCTTAGTATCATTTGGAATGAGGAAATAATATATTTGGATAGAATATACTCTGCTATGCAAATGTACACGAGACCCCTGGAAAAGCTCACATCAAATACTGTATTATTAGAAATAATAATAATCAAAGCTATTTATGACACGGCCTTTATTCACAGAAAGATTTGCCCCAGGGATTTGTTTTTGCAGTTTGGCTTGATGATAAGATTTCCACCCCCCCCTCACCTCTGCCCTGTTGGCCACATCAGCCCAGACCCCCACAGGACATGGAAAAGGAGAATAAAACCCCCCTGGGACAGGAGCTCCCACAGCTCAGCCCCGGGGGAGCCACCACCACCACCACGCCGCCGCAGGAGAAGGCAAAGGGATGCAGAGAGGGGAAAAGCCACCGTAGTGCTGAGCACACCCAGGGCCTGTGACAGCCCCTCGCTGCTACATGGGACAAGCTATTTTATCAGGGTCTGAGCCACGTTGGCTTGCCCAGAGCGGGGGGGAAGCAGGCACGCTGGCCCACCCTAAGGCACTGCAGTCGCACACCCTCGCCCATGCTCTGGACGCAGCCCCACGGGCAGCTGCACCTCTACCTTCAACCTTTATTTTAGCAGGACATCAAGCAAGAAGTTTAGAAAACCCAGGAGGCAGGAGCAGTCCCCCTCTGCCTGGGTACCCGGGCGAGGATGGGCATTGCCCAGGCAATGGGGTTGATTGCCCATGGGGTTGATTGCCCATGGGCATCAGAGCACAGGGGGCAACGAACGCACTTTGCGACCAGCTGCCGCTTCCTCAGAGTCCTTTGGTATCTTGAGTTGGCCTGACAGTGTCCCAGGAGCATTGATGGATCAGTGATGAAATGTCAAGCTGGGGAGACACAGGAGTAGGTGGGAACTCACGTCCCATAGTCCCAGAGCCAGCAGGTGTCAGTCCCAGAGTGAGCACATGCGCTGCTCCGCCGGGACCAGATGGATGTGCCGCCTGGAGCCCCCTCCCCAGGCGGGTACAAGAGAGATGTACCATCCTGCACTCCCCGGCACCAATGATTTGGCAAAGTCAGAGCCAGGACAGCTTGTCTTGAAAGGCTGGAGGAGAAGGGTCAGGTATTTTTCCTTCTTCTTGGGCACTGATTGGTTCAAGTTTGTATCACAGTGAAGTCTGAGAAGTGGGGAAGAAACCCAAACCACCTTCCCTGAAAGAGAAAGCCTCGTTTGCCACGCACGTCCCATCTGCTGCCAACCACGGAGGCTTCCATCACTCGGTAGGAGACTTTGGACCTTCACCCTCCAGCCAGCACTCATGGCAGAGGGCAGGAGGAAAACAAGTGGAGAAACCATCCCCATCCCACCGCCCGCCCAGGCTCACCCTGGAGCCCATCCTCAAACACAAGTAAACGTAAAGAGAAACTAAGAGGCACTAATAACGCAGAGACGGGGAGACTCAGGCTTGCGACTGTCAAACCTGGCTCCAGATGTCTTTGTGCAGCTGGAGAAAAGCTGACTCCTCGTTTCAGATCTCCTGCAGAGAGTGGCCGGGGTCGCTGCGTTCCCGTTTCACCAGCGGCTCCCTCACGCTCCGGGAGTCTGTGTCCACCTCGCTGCCCAGGTCACTAATGTCATCTGCAAAGGACAGGTCTCAGCATCAGAGTGGGGAGCAGAGGGGAAAAGGTTCTTCTTCCCAACAGAACAGGGTGGAAGAGCCAGCACGAGGTTCCCCCTCCCACAGAGATTCAACCCTGACCCAGTGGGACTTCCCTTGAGGGAGAGGAGGTACCTTTGTCCAGCAGTGTTGGGGACAGGGATGTGAGGTCACCAAACTGAAACAAAAAGGAGTCACAAGGTAAGTGAGGCTTACAGAGACCTGAGGCACCAGACCCACAAGTCGACATCTATTTCCAACCAAGTCTAACACGCAGCTTGAGTGCTCAGGAGAAACCACGAGCATCACAGTGCCAGTGAAGAGCAGAAAGCAAAACCAGACACATGTTTTGGGGAAAACCTGTTTAAAACTTTGGGCAAACACCACACACAACAATCCAGGGCAGGATCGAGCTCTGGAAAAATGGGTAAGAGGAGAAATTTTTCCATCTCCCAAGTCACAACCAGGTGCTGACCAAAGGATGGTGTCTTTTCTCCAGCTCTCTGCATGGCAGCTCTTCACCTCTCCTGGGACTCTACCTCCCCTGGGACTCCACCATCACTCCACCTCTCTGCAAAGCCTTTGCAGTCACGTCAGGAAGGTGCTTTGGCTTGCAAGGCCACAGTGCCAAGTGTCACCAGAGAGCTGGGGATATATTGGGCTCTGGAGATGAGTTGTCTCCCTCTGTGACAAGCTCTGAAAGACTAAATTACTGTAATGATAATGCTGAAAAGTCAGGCAAAGTTGGGCAGCAGATGGAACTGAGGAGAGCAGGAGTTATAAAGCAATGGAAATGGAAGGAATTCATCCTCTTTCGCTGGGAAGAATCAGCCTCCTCCTGGAGAACTGAAATATTGCAAGAGTTTAAAGAAGGAAAGGCAAAACCTGAAGGGTGAAAGCCTCCCACAGCTGGGTTTTACTGGAAGCCACTCTCTGCCTTTCATGTTCCTTTCGTATCAATAAAGACAGAGGTTTTACAGGGAACAGTGGGAACTCGCAGAGCTGCTGACTTGGGGCGACAGCGTGGGTCTAACGGGAGGGGAAGGGAAAGCAAAAGGCAGGCAATTGATTCCTCTGGCTCCCCTACGTGAGCTCCATGGAAGGAAGAAAACAGCATCAGCTTCAAGGAGCAAATGAGATCAGTTTTAATCTATCAGTAGTTTATCGCTGTCACAGGTTGATTGAGGCCTTTTAAATCTGGGCATTTCAGAGTGAAAATTGGAAGTGGCTTCAGCGGGGCAGGACAGGACCTGCCTGCAAAGCAGGCACCAGATTTACTGTCTGATTTGTTAAACATAACAAAACAATCCCCACCACACAAGACAACTCATCATTTCTCTTCCTAAAGTCAAAAATGGAGACATGGCTGACTGTGCATGAAACTCAGAGGCCTGAGGAGCTTCAGTGAATGGTACCACTGAAAGTTGGAGGGACAGTTACTTTTAGACCTTTTTTGGCTTGGTTTAGTTTTTGTATTTGATGGGACTTGGCCCTGGTGGGAACCCCAAAGTCAGGGGTTGGCCAGAGAAGCTGTGGCTGCTCCTCCCTGGAAGTGTTCTTGGTCAGGTTGGATGAGGCTTTGAGCAACCTGGTCTAGTGGAAGGTGTCCCTGCTGCTGGTAGGGGGGTTGGAACTGGATGAGCTTGAAGGTCCCTTCCAACCCAAACCAGTCTGGATTCTATGATACCCAGAGGTTATGGAAAGAAGTGAGGAGAACCTTTTCTTCCCTCCTCCAAAGCCCACCTGATGCACAACTGCCCCAAAACCCACCAGCTCGTGAGCCAAGATGGAAGATGCTCAAGGAGCTGGATCCTTCTGCCAGGCACTCATAGAACTCAAGAAATCCTTTAGATATGGTTATAAAACATGTTCAGGACACAGTGTGGTTTGTGAACTGCTCCCACCTCCTTAAGTGCTGCTTAGTTTGGGTTTGTTTCTAAGGAATAAACAATTCTCACCTCTCCCATTACAGCAATCGGCGTCTCCCCTGTTGCCTGGGCAACACGATGCTCTACCAGATAAAACATGTATTCATCATAGAGCAGGCGAATCAGGTGGAAGGAACCAAAGCTGGCAGCACTGCGCAAGGTGAGGTCACGGATCACCATGGAGCTGGAAAATGGCCGGGAAACAAAATATTTGGGATGTGTTTTACATTTGCATCACGGCTGATGTGAATTCTTGAGCCTGAGGGTAATGTGGGACATAGTGGTTTGTTTCTACCTTTAACTCAAGAGTATCAAAGCACTTTTAAGAAATTAATTGATGGAATATCCTACACTCTTCCTGAAAGGCTACATGAAACACAACACTCCCCTCCGTATCAGGGCAGAGCAATGGTTAACCAGAGTTGCATGGGAGTAAAGAACTTGGCTTTGGCTTTTTAAAGCGTTGTTTACATCCCCCAAGCCCACTGCAGATAAAGCTCCAAAATGAGGAAGAAAATGTACCTATAGAAAGACCATTTCAACAGGAACTGTCTGGCTGCCTTGGGGAAGCTGGGACTGCCCTCGTGGTGCTTCAGGACTTGAGTAACAACGTTATCCAGCCAACTAGCCCACTGGTCCAGAGAACTCTGCTGCTGCAGAGTGAGCTTGAAATCTTGCTCCAGCTTCTGCACCATGCCTTCTTCACACTGGCACACCCATGAGGCTTGCTCCTGCTCGGGAAGAAGGGTTGACAGTTACTCATGCCAAACGTGCACAATTGGTGCATCCCAACCTAGGAATTCAATGGCATTTCTAATAGACAAGGACTCCAAACCAGCTCTGAACCATGTTTCCTCCCATCTGTCCAGACCACAGTACAATATTATTATTAGAACCATATTATTCTTGGTAGCACGACTTGTTACAGAAGTTCCTCAGTACTTTCTCCACTACTCACAGTGAGATGGAAGAGGAACACCAAAACCATTAAAATGTTCACTTCATTGCTTTTTAATATTGGAAATAAGATGCTGGTTACCAGCAGACAACTTCATTATAGAGTCCCAGTTCTAGACAACATGACATAGGAAAAAGATACCCAAAGTCACCTGCACATTGGCAAAGTCGACGCGATTGAGGTCGCTGAGCATCTGGTTTATCTGGGAAGTGTTCTGCAGCACGGCGCGGGCAGCCTGAGCCAGGTGGTTCAGGGAGGTGTATCTCCGTAACGTCTGCGCGAAGGCACTCACCACCCCGACCTGCGAGACAACACGCAGGGCACTGTGAGCTGGAGGCCACGGGGCTGGAAGGAAAACCCTTCCCAATGCTGAGCTCAAGCACACAGCACACATCAGCCGGGGTAACTTGTACAATCCCACCCAGGCTGCTGTCCAAAGCGCACACGAGTGCTCCAGAGCAGCACTTCTGCAGCATCTGCACTTCTGCATCGAGGGAGGTGATTCTGCCCCTCTAC